AATCCACGTTCCACAGCTGATCCCTGCGTGGTTCGCCTTGAGGCTTCATATAGCTGCGCAGTTTGGGTGCAACGCAACCTTGAAGTTCTTGCTTCATGAAAACGCCATGCTGAAGACTCGAGATAGTCTTGGCTGCACGCCCTTGCACCGAGCAGGCATTGGAAACAACGCAGAAGGTGTCCAGATACTTTTGAAAGCAGGGTGCAACCCTCACCAGTTGGTGGCTTGGCGATACGAAGACAAATGTTTTTCAGTTTGGTCATGCGTGATTTTTGTACCTTAACCTTTGGGGAAAATGTTGGTTGAAATTGAAATCGTTTCCCGGAAGAAACAACACATTGTATATATATATATATACAGGTCCATAGGCTCTTACATCTGACCCATCCCCATGATTTAACAAATCTTCAAGTTGTGCTTGGTGTCTCAAAATTTGAGAGTCCAAGAGAAATCATCCAGCTGAATTCAGCATGATCTTCATGTGCCAGGAGAAGATGACGTGTAGCAACGCCCTATTTGTAACGTGTGCTTGGGGCAACCTTCAAGCTGCCGAAGCCTTGATGAGGTGCCAATGGGATACCTTAAAATCCATGGGTTTACCGTCCTTTGCTCAACATGACCACAGCATGGGGGTGAAAATCCCAAGTTTAAGATGACACATCTATCAAATGGCCATTTGGGGATTGAAATTATATAGTTTGCGGGCACTGCCCATTCTGAGACGCACTCATATTTTCTATGCACTTTGGCAATTGAACTTAGCTTTAGGAAGAACAACCGTCCATTTAACTCGATGATTTACGATTTTATGACATGGTGACTTTCCATAGCTATGTTTTTTACATGCGGTATCCATCGGTATCCTATTTTCACGTTCATTTACTGTACCTTCCGCTAATCAAGCGTGGCAATGGAATATCCACCATTTAGTACGATGATTTTCCCAGCTATAAACCTGCATTTAGTTCGGGGGTTTTCCATTGCCACGTTTGATTACCGGATCGTGAACATCATTGAATAATCAGCAATTAAATATCTTATGTTTTCCTTTCCACATACCTCAGGAACGTTCCTGATCTTGACAAGTCCATGAGCCTGCACGTGGCCGGTATTGGAAATGGTGGAGCTGAAATCATGGCAGCTTTACTGCTGGGCGGGGCAGATATCAACGAACCTTTCATCCAGCCGTGGCACGTTGGAATCAAGTTCCAGGCTGGTAGAGTGAGTGCGGATGGGGTTGATGCTTGAAGCAACTTATTTTGATGTATCATCCAATTTGGGAAAGAAATGCTGCCTTTTGATATAAGAATGTTTGTGTTTATATGTCCTTTCACCAAGCACTTCAACATCCAGCAGACATCAAACAGGTTTCCTCAATCACTGAGTATTTCACTTCAAAATCTGCTTCCCAGGTTGCTGCAAAGATTCTGAACCTGACGCGAAGCCGTTTCGCATATACGGTATCGAATCTGGACCACTGCACCCCGCTGATTTGTGCTTTGCTTATGGAGTCCTTTGACTGCGCGGCTCTTCTGATCGCAGCCGGAGCTGATCCAACTATCCCAAATAAGAATGGCACCTTGGAAATACTTGGAATGCAAACCGCAGACCGGTTGCTGGTGGGTGTCGTTTGTTACTATTTGTTAAATGAATTTCAGTTTTTTTCCAATGACTTGAAATGCTTTCCATTCAAACATGGTTTTACTATCAAGAGTGGGGGGTCACTGCTGGTATATCTTGGGCCCCGAAGGACCACAGAAGGGCCACACCACATGGGCACCCAGTGGATCATTCAAGGAGTGGCGGAGATGAAATCATCTTTCAGTTATAGGAGTTTCATGCATTTGATAAGCTCTAAGCCCCTTACACTTACTTATGGGATATACCATGATATACCATGATGCGCCCTTGGTTTTTATGCCTTACACATGCAACAACTGCCGCGGTCCCGAGGGAGGCGTGCCCTAGAAGTCGCACAAGAGATGTCGGCCCCAGAGACGATCCTGCAGGGACTTCAAGGTGCGAAGCCGATAAAACATGGAGGATAGCAGTGGAATATAATGGAATATTAGCATTAATATGGGAGATTAACATTGGATAATATTGGATATAGATATTGATAATGAAGATAGTAGTGGAATATTAATCTGGGAGATCAACATGGGATATTCATATAATATTCATGGGATTTGAAGAACAATGGGTATTTCATGGTGTAATAAAATAGCAAATGGATATTAGTGGGATGGATAGTGAAATAACAATTCAGATGTAAAAGTAAATGGAAACGGAAATGTATAATTGGATATACAGTAACTATAAAAGAAAAACAGGAACTATAAAAGAAATCTACTGTATCTTTGGACCGTCTTGAATTGTAACACGTACCCTCTGGTAATTTAACATAACTATGGAAAATCACCATTTTTCATGGGAAAATCCACTATTAATGGCCATTTTCAATAGCTATGTTAATTTACCAGAGGGTAATTGGATATTAATTGTATAATTGTATAATATGAATGGGAATATGACGTAGCATTCTTAGATTTATTCTGGATGAATTATAACGACCTCGCTGTGACCTTGCGGTGGTTAGTAAGGAGAATCAAACCCAAATGCCCTGAAAATTCAGCTGAGCTATTTTCTGGTCAGTGAATTGTGTTCAAAAAACATCCGTCAAATACTGTATACAACATATTGTAACATACCATGCGGTAATCACACGTGGCAGTGGGAAATCCGGGAAATCCCCGAACAAAAAAAAGGGGTTTATAGCTGGGCAAATCATCGAACTCAATGGTGGAGATTCTTTTGCGATGTTTGATTTCCGGAGGGTATACCCTCGAGATCCCTCGAGTATATAAATCAATATAAACCCAAATACACCCTGAAAATCGCCAAGACTTCGTGGAAACCAATCTTCCAACTCCCTATTTGGCAGGGTCTATGTGAATGTAGGGGAGGGTATAAGTTAAGTTATATATATATGTGCAATGTAACCTATGATATTTTTTGGTTTACGGCATGTTATTCAAGTTTATTTTTTCATGTAGTATTGATCACAACCCTGGTGTTATGCGTAGCCATGAAGCCGTTTTAAGCATAGATTATTATATATATATAGTATATATATAAATAGCATGATATAAATATATGTTTATGTCATATATATATAGTATATATGGATATAATATGTATAAATATATATATATATACACAATATATATATATATACACACATTAACCCAGCATACAACCCCAATAGCAAAGTTTCACATCTCCGTTGACGCCAATTTGGTATTGTCCGGGGAACCATTTTACTCCAAATTACTTTACTTCGTGTGATCCCCACCATGACATTTATACATGTTCTTACTGGCACATCTTCTGGCATTCTATCTGACATATCTTCTGACATTCTATTTGGCATTCTATCTGGCATATCTTCTGGCACATCTTCTGGCATTCTATCTGACATATCTTCTGACATTCTATTTGGCATTCTATCTGGCATATCTTCTGGCACATCTTCTGGCATTCTATCTGACATATCTTCTGACATTCTATTTGGCATTCTATCTGGCATATCTTCTGGCATATCTTCTGGCATTCTATCTGACATATCTTCTGGCACATCTTCTGGCCTTCTATCTGGCATATCTTCTGGCATTCTATCTGGCAAATCTTCTGGCATTCTATCTGGCATATCTTCTGGCATTCTATCTGACATATCTTCTGGCATTCTATCTGGCATTCTATCTGGCATATCTTCTGGCATATATTCTGACATATCTTCTGGCATTCTATCTGGCATTCTCTCTGGCATTCTATCTGGCATATCTTCTGGAATATCTTCTGGCATATCTATCTGGCATATCTTCTGGCATATTTTCTCGCATTCTACCTGGCAAATCTTCTGGCACTCTATCTGACATTTTATCTTCCTACATGAGGTCCGGCAGGGAACACTTGGCGTGGATACTCGCGGTTGAGGTCCGGCAGGGAACACTGGGCGTGGATGGTCGTGGTTGATGTCCGGCAGGGAACACTGGGCGGGGATGGTCGTGGTTGAGGTCCGGCAGGGAACACTGGGCGTGGATGGTCGTGGTTGAGGTCCGACAGAGAACACTGTGCGTCGAGGGTCGCGGTTGAGCAGGAGGACGAGGAGGACAACGAGGACGACGAGGACAACGAGAGGACGACAAGGATGACAAGGAGGACGAGGAGGACGAGGAGGAGAGGAGGAGGAGGAGAGGAGGAGGAGAGGAGGACGAGGCAGGAGGAGGAGGAGGAGGCAACCGACATAAAATCTAACAACCCTCACCTGGCAGGTGGGGAAAAACATACCGTTTCTTCAATACCACCAAAACACCACCGGAACACCGCCAAAACACCACAGAAACACCACGAAAACATGAGCAAGACTCAAAACATCACTGAACACCGTCAAGACTTACGGACACACCGCCAAAGTGCCACCAAGATGCCAACGACCACCCAAACACAATTGAGAGACCACCAACACACCAGCAGGAGGACAAACACCTTCAAGAATCAAAATCGTACAATCTTATTTTTGTCAATTTGTATTTCAATCACTGTTGTATACCCGTGGTAGCTTAGATTTATTAGACAAAACAGGAAAAATATACAGGTAGATAGATACTGTGGATTTGTGGGCGGGTTGGAGAGGATGAGCGAAAACAAGTGAAGATAAGGTGACATGATAGGAAAACGATACTGTAGATATGGAAAAAACAGATCATGAAAATACATAAGATAGTTAGTTTCGCATAGGTTAGGTGGATAGACGTCTAGATGAATAGATCAATCGATCGACAGGTAGACCCTATCAGAGTAGAGAAGAGTGCGGGTAGGGTGGGGTAGATAATCTTGGATATTTTGGATAGATTCCTGGATGAAGGAATGGAACAATAGATCGATACATAACATAACTTAGAAAATACAAGTGTAATTTTTGCATAAAGATATAATTATTGCATGTATTGCTTTTCGGTTGGGTGGTTTCAATGCACAAAAGATGATGCCCTCTGCCCTTTTTGGAAAATTTCTGATCCTATGTAGCAACCCCCGAAGACAACCCCAGCCACCGAGGCAATGTTCAGGCTTGCAGTAGTCTTGTGTCAGAGGAAAGTGCTCGGAGGCTCTGGATTTCGTTGTAGCTCCTTTGCCGCACCCTGGCACTTTGAGAAACTCAGCGTTTGTTGGGAAACTCACCATGTTTCACACCGCATGAAAATTTTGTTTGGAAACGCATCACACCTATCACATATCCATGCACTCAATCTTTTATATATCTTTTATTACTGAGGGTCAGGCAAATATTCGAGCCATATTCGAGCCAAAAGAGCTAAATGAACACGCAAAAGACGCTGCAAGAGTTCTGTTTCAGACATATTGATGTTTGATGTTTTCGTACCTCTCCGTCAGTCAACGCAGGGTTTCAAGAGTTTGCAAGATAGACACCTATTGTATATAAACTCGTTGACGGGTTGCGTGCCGAACTATATCGCAGTTAACCCTTGCTATGTTTTCTGCGACCACCCTATCTACATTTGGTACGGCAGAGACGGCAGAAACCCATCATTGTATATGTTTTTTACTATCACTATTGTCTGATAAGGTCAAACATGGCCAAACGCTCATATTGAAAACTTGATGGACAAAGACAGACTTACTGTCAGACTGTATCAGTTTGTTGGGAACATATTCAGCTCACAGTTTGTTGATTCATCTTTGAGGTTGTGGTCGCCACTATTTGTGACTCTGGGAGTGACAGCTTCCAACGCCTTTTTTCCAACGCCCGTGAGGACAGGCTGCGTTGGTCATGTCAGCCGGTGGCACAGCTGTGGTTCCAAGCCGAGTGGAACGCGTTGTCCAACAATTTTCGCTTCGTTGTACACAGGATGTATGAAAGAAAATCATGGTTTTCTCAGGACATGATCTACTGATTGGTAATTTTACTATCATTGGTTTATTTGCTGGAATGTTTCAGGCGATCTTTCAAGGCCTGAAAAAAGGGAGTGGGATGATCATAGCTGGCACCAAAAACCACCAGTTTTTTGCGCCTGAAATTGGACCCGCTGAAGGTGGGGTGATCCAAATTCAGCGCCCAAAAAATGTCGCGGCTGAGGGGCTGGGATCTGCTGTGTAGCTTTGCCCCCTATTACCTATTTGCCTTATTTGTGGATTCAGATTCTTCAGCAAGTTTGAAGGTTTGCCCCTATGGTGCTAAAGACTGGTAAAGGTAGGAGACCGATTTGAATAAAGTTGGAACATAATATTTGAACCATCCTGTTTAATCAGGTGCAACATGACCCAAGAGCTTGAAGGGATGTGTGTATTTTCGCCAAATACATCTCCGGACTTAAGCATGTTCAGCTGATTTCTGCATTTGAGATTCAAACAACACAAACGTTCATGGGTTTTTGCTGTTTTAGCTACAACAAGAATAGGCACTCCTGTTCCTGATGATACTGCAAAATTGTCCCTATTTTTTTTGGTGGATCCTCATCACTTACTGGCGGTTAAGCGGGAATAAGGGAATACAAAAAAATATGTCCCATGCCAAGTTCCAAGTTGAAATGATGGTGTCAGACTGTGACTTAACATTCACATGATGGAATTGGTGCCAGCCTATATTTCTTATAACATCAGCACATAAAAAAAAATCCTTGGCTTTACTACCAACAATTGGAGCCTGGGGGGGGGCAGGGCGGAACATTAATTCACCGATGACCCGTGGTTTAAAATAATGTGATGGGGATGACTGGTGATTCTATGAGTCTAGTTTGTTAGATACCGGTTTTTTGTCACTGTCAAAATCTATTCGTTGAATCACCCCATCAGAAATGATCAGAAGTGAGTTGCCTCAGTCAGTCTAATTTTTCCAAAATCTAAGACCTCCAAATCATAGATTTCATTTATTAAAAACGGACTAATTAATAATAATGAAATTATTGCCTTTGTTATTAATGGATCATGTTGCATTGTCCCATGCTGAAGAAGCATCATCACGTGCATGGCCCCATGCTGCAGAAGCATAACATGCATGTTCCCATGCTGAAGAAGCATCACATGCACTGAAAATTGCCTAAATCAGATGCCAGTGAAGCCATGCTAAAGAAACAACCATTCTTGGAAACATCCATGCTGAAGAAAAATAAGGTTTTTGGCCAGGATCAAAAATTCCAAAGCCACGACGTACTGAAAAATCCTCAGAGCCAAGATCGTGTTAAAAATCATGGTGGCACCAGACACGCTGAAGAAAACAGAGCGCGCATTCTTCGACAGAACTGGCTGGCTGAGCAGGTGATTCCAGGCATGTTTCAGCAGAATTTCGATTTTTCAATTCAAGTGTCAGAATTTGTCAAGGGCCAGCTTGCTGGTCAAGGCCAGCTTGCTGGTCAAGGCCAGCTTGCTGGTCAAGGCCAGTTTGCTGGTCAAGGCCAGCTTGCTGGCTATTGCCTGAGGGAGCTGCTAGACACTGGCCAACCGTTCCAATTCATTGAGAAAAATGGGTTGGTTCAGCAGCTTCAAGTTTAAGACCAGCTTGCTGGTCCCAATATAGCCAGCTTGCTGGCATGTACTGCTGACAGTGGCACCCCAAAAAATGACTAATTATTGCATGTCATATCGGCGGGAAAAAGGAAGTAATGGACATGGCCAGCTTGCTGGCCACACATAATAAGTCACTTTGACATGGCCAGCTTGCTTGCCTCATGTACACCAGTCTGGTTTTAGCTAGTCATATAATCGTTGCGCTGGTTGTGCATTTGTGATGTTGCTGGGCTGGCTGCAGCATCATCTCAAGCCACCGCCGCTGTCCTATCATTGCCCAATAATTACGCCCAGTGAAGCAATGTCGAGCGACCCGTTCACCTTCAGCGTGAGGACGAACACGCGCGGCTGGGACATGACAGATGAGACCTTCAGGAAGCGATGGGGGACTCGATGGACAGTATCTTGGCAAATTTCAGGCCCAATTTTTTTCTGTCAATAAATGTTAAAGTAAGAATTCGCCCATCGACTGGATTCTGACTGGATTTTCAGGCGAAGAATGGGGACGATTGGATTTTGACCCAGATCCAGTACCGTCATGATGAAGTGGTCGAAACTTGGCAGGCTCTTGCACGTGAGAGCCGCCCAGGCCCTGTCTTCGTGCAAGAGGGCACCATGCCGGAGCCGCCCCGGAAAAAGCCTGCCCAGAAGAAGTCCACAAAGGCGGCCAAGCAGGACACCAAGAGCAAGGCGAAGGCGCCGGCCGAGAAGAAGGAGAAGACCCCAGTGGAGAAGAAGGGCAAGAAGGCCTAATTAAGGATATGCTCACGGATGATGATGCCATGGGAGGATGAAAATGTGTGAGCGGAACTGAATCAGGCCAGCTGGCTGGCCCCCTTAGCCAGCTTGCTGGTTACTTGACAGTATAATTTTTCTACATTATATTATTGAAGAAATGGAAGGGTATTCAATGTCATTCACTGGCCAGCTTGCTTGCCTCAAAAGTTTTCTGTTGTGAAATCCTAGCCAGCTCGCTGGCTGACAGAGTCTCAACATGGCATACGTAGCAATTTTCCAAGTCAAGTTGTTAATAGTGAGGACCAAGAAACAATTTCTTTTAAATTTCAGCCAGTGATAACAATTAAGCACGTCCAACGACTCACCCAGCTGAATCTGAAATCATCAGGCGACATATTGCAGTCCCAAATTCCTATCCTTCAAGGACAACTCACAGTGTTCAACTCAACTAAGATTAAATATTTCAACAAAAAATCATTCATGCATGCATACATACATACCTACCTACCTACATACATACATGCATGCATGCATGCATACATACATACATACCTACCTACATACATACATGCATGCATGCATGCATACATACATACATACATACAATAACATACATACATACAAAAACATACATATCTTGTTTTCCGCGCTGCGAGCCATGCAATGGAGAACGCGGTCGCGGCCAAAGACGAGGAGGCCACAGATGACAACGTGACTGAGGTGGATTCGGCGGACGACAACGTCACGCAGTGCGAGGAGGAGGTGGAGACTGCCACCGTAGTGCCACCGGACCTCGGGGAAGCACGCTTGCTGTGTGAAGTGGTGCCTCCGAGCTGCCTCCCACCAGGGCCTGCAGATCCAGAAGTGGCAACGGTGCTTGGGGATGTCGCTCCAGGCCCAACAGTGGAGTTGGAGGTGGGTGATGGTCCTGAGGGTGGCGATCCTGGTGGCGGCGCTGATGGCGACACCACGGAAGCGCCAACCGCCCTGCCAGCAGCAGCAGAGGGTGGAGGTGCGCGTCACTTAGACGCGATGCAGCGGCTGCTCCTGCAGACTCAGGCCGAGCTGCAAGAGGCGCAGGCCGCACTGGCTTTGCACAGGCAAGGGCTTCTGCCCAAGTCATCGGGGCCGCCGCCGCCGTACAGCTGGTTGGCCTCGTCAGGCGCTTCCTCCTCGAGTGCTGCGGCGCCGGAGCCCCCACTATGCCAAAAGCGCCGCCTACTCCATCGGTGCCGAGTGGAAGATACCCTTCCAGCAACCCCTCCGTGCAGATGTACAAGAAGACGAACTGCACACCCGAGGAAAGGCGGCAAAGAGACCTGAAGATAGAGAGGGAGACAAGGAGGAAGCGGCGCAGACAGCAGGAAAGGGATGATCAAAATCGGCCAAGGCCGCCGCCATGACAATGAGATGATGTGGCCACGGAATGCTCGTCTTCAATGGAATGGTCAAAGGCTGTGGGCCTCAGTGGCAGGTGCTCGTCTTCCAAGGCTCTTACTGACGGCCACGGAATGGTACCAAACTTCGGCCTGGACCTGGAATTGGTGAAAAATGATTGTTGTTTTGAAAACCGGTTTGTCAAAAAACCAGCTTGCTGGTTTCAGTCTTGTTGCAGCCAGCTTGCTGGTTCCCAATTAAATGGCCAGCTTGCTGGCCTGGCTGAGGTTGGGGTTCAACATTCCTAACCAAGGTGATTTTGATGGCTGAGGTCTTCAATATATCAGTTGCAAAGCCAGCTCGCTGGCTGAGGTTGAGGTGTATACTTGTTAACACTGGCATCGTCTTATGGAATCATGATTGGCAGCCAGTCGATGGTTCAATTTTAAAGGTAGATCGCCAGCCATGTCGTCGACGTCAGCCTCAGCCGGCACGCCTGCAGACCCATCAGAATCATCACGTCATTACCAGGATGACTACTACTGGCGGAAGGATCCTCAGAAAAACTATGATTGGTACTTGAATGGCCCACCGTCACCGGAACCTGATGGCCCGCCTGCTCAAAACAGGGGCTCCGATGGCAATGTGAAGTTCAAGACGCGCTGGGAGATGGAAAAGGAATGTCATGTGCTGCGGAAAGAAAATGAAAGGCTGATCAACCTCATGAATACGGAGCACAGGAGGTGGCTGGAAACACGGGCACAACTTGACTTATGCCACGTTGCCATTGCTCAACTGAGAAACGAAAGAGACGACTTGCTGGCCGAGAAGAGGGCCCGAGAAGAGGGCACAACTGAGTAACTTGAAGTCGATGGCTGGAAAAAAAGTGCGCTGTGGGCCAGCTTGCTGGCTGGAATATCGGGGGGATGGCCAGCTTGCTGGCTAAGATTGCCTAGTAAAAAAAACATATTGATTGACATTGACATTTGAAAGGCACCGCCACAGCACACATGGGCTGAGATGTTCTTGAAGTTGATGAGTTTGTCTACACCAGAGATTTCCCCACACATCTGCCTTCATACTTTCAGGCTGCCCTGGTCCACCTGGAAAATATGTCTAATCTGAGGTCACGTAACCGTAAGAATTGTTTGTTTCATCACGCCAGCTTGCTGGACCTGGATTGAGTGTTTGGCCAGCTTGCTGGCATTTATATTTGTTTGGAGCAACAGATCATCTCACACCGACAATGACCAAGCCATTTTGGCACAATAGATATGTCACTGTCATTGGATTGCGGTTATTAATTATTACAGTTGCATGCCAGTCATTTCGGATGCTAACTTCAACTCATGTTTCGCATTTCCAAAAAAAAATGAAGTATCACAGGTATGATTTGCAAACAGCCTTCACATCATTTGAAACTAAAAAATCATTTGCAATGATCCCTGGGTTTGGCCGTGTTGCGACACCGCAGAAGTTCCACGAGGATGATAAAATTGAAACAATTTACAAAACTCGACGGTGGAGGAACAATATCGCAAAAAAACCATCCAAATCTTCTGTCGAGAAGCCGCTGCTCAGACCTGTTTCTCTAGAGGAAAACAGAGACCATGTTTCGAAATGCTTTGATCCAACCAGGTGCTGGAGATGCCTCTACTTGCGAAATCGAGAAGAATGGGGACAGGTGGCCACCTTGAAGTCGGGCGGGCACATCATCGGATCCTGGCTATGCTTGACCCAGCATGAAGATGAGGATGGATCCGACTTTGTTGGGCTTTCTTGCATTGTCTGCCAAAAAGCAAATGTGGAGAACAATTTCTCGAAAGGCATGGTGCAGTTTCTTGACCCTTTAATGGGATGATGTTTTAATTTTTCTCTGTCCCAATGGCCAATGGCCAACAATAATTTAAGCACAATTTCCTCAATTCAATTTATCTAATGTTACCATCATCTGAACTCAGGACTCCGTTCATCAGCAACATCAAACGCCATGGTCAGTCAGCAGCCCATGACAAAGCTTTGATGATAGCCGGTTATGACACCAAAAGATCTTGCGAGGAGTTGGCTTCACATGGATGTCCTTCAATTGCCATGTTCAAAGACGCTTTGGCCAACCGTCTGCGCCGTGATTCTTTGCAATCTGGTTTGCTGCCTTCGGGCGATTCTGCAAATAAATGTGGCAAAGAAAAACTCGGCAATTTGCAGTTCTGCCTTGGCGAAGCAGCACGAGCAAGAACACGAGAGGCGCTCAGGGACGCTGTAACCTTGAGCGTCATGCAGGATGGCCGGCACGGTGATCTTTTGATGCGGTACTGTGCAGTGGACGCCGCCCTCTCTGTGCGAAGAGGAGTGCTTGGATGTGTCAACATTGAGTACTCAGAGACCATCACCAACATTGTCCAAGCGATGCACGAAGCTGTTCGGCAGGCTTGTTGCGTTGGCTATGGTGGCCCCAACCCCGAAGATGACCGGGATTTGCAGCGCTCGGTCTGTCAGAAGGTGACAATGTTTGTCGCAGATGCTGCGGCCAATGAACAAGGAGCAGGAAGAGTCTGCAAAATGATTTTTCCCAACGTGATTTCTTGCCAGAAAGACCGGGCTCACGCATGCATGCGGGTCCTAAAACGTCCTTGGGATGCAATTGGGTCAATGTCTGGTGTCCTCGAAGCTTATGTCTTTGGATCGGACTCGATCCGGACTCGATCATTCAGAAGATTCACCATTCGAAGGTCCTCCAGGATGTCTTTAGTGGCTTCGCTCAGCAGCTGGATGCTGGATGGCAAAAACGAATCCGACACTTAAAGGCAGCCAAGCACCGTTTCGCGAGTTGTACACAACCACTCCAAAGGATGGTGGTTTACCTCGATGCTATCATCTCCACTCTGGTTTGGGTGTCCACTCAGCGCGATGGAGCTGACAAAGCTGCGGCGCTGGACTTTCTGGAAGCCATGAACGAAAAGGACTTGGTGCTCATGGCCATGATGAGCGACCTAGCTGATGAAACAAGCCAGCTGTTGCGAATGGTCGATACGGAATCTTATGACTTGTCTGAATTCCCCGCAGAAGTGGAGACACTGGTGTCAAAAATGCACCATTTGGTGAACAAGGGCAACATATTCCACCAAGGATTCACAGCTCATATGATTCAGGCATTGGAGCGCCCACGTGGGTTCATGGTGCCTTGGTGGGTAAAATGGTTTCCCAATGTTTTAGAATTATTTTCCCACAACATTCCAAAAGAAATAACATTTATATTTTTCAGTGGACTGTGGATCCATGCTGCTTGAATCAGGTCAGAGGGGTTCCAAAAACTTTGGGAGGAAAGAATCGAGTAGATTGCCCGATGTTACTAAGCTGCGCTGAACAATGCCAAGCGTTTGTTGTGCTGGCCACGAACACTTTGAAGGCGGAATTTCCTGATGCCGATGTGTTAAATTCCTTTCGCGTCTTTGATGTTGTGAAGAAAAGAGGTGTACAACGAGACGAAGCCATTCACTGCAGTTTCAAAGAGCGATCCATCAAACGTTTGGCCCAGGTGTTGCAGTTGGATGCTACTTTACTTGCCAATCAGTTCGATGAAGTCGAGCCCGTGGCAATGTATGAAGCATCCACAGGTCGACAAAGTTCCTTCGAAGCTTGGCGCACAGCTTTGCTCAGAATCAAAGCACGTCGCCGCAATGGCAACGACAAACAAACGCACAGCGCATTGTTCAGCGCTGTCACGGCCTATGCTGCGTGGAACGGCATGGCTTCTTCAGGCGTCGAACAAAATTTTTCAACTCTTTCTGAGGGCATTGCCAAGCAGCGGAGACATATGCAGCTCGGTTACATAGAACAATAATGTTTTAATTTGTTATGTGAGATTGCCGAAGTGGCATGACAAGTCCTGAACCCAAGGTCCAACGAAATCAAGAACGATGAGATGCAACTCTTGCTGTTGCCAGACAACGTGCCTCATGATTCACTGTGTGAAGAAGCACAAAAGATTTGGAAGAAGTACTTTGGCCAGGCTCGAACGAGTTGCTTGACTCGTCTGGATAAAGGTGTTAAACGGCCAAATGAAGAAAAAACAATCTTTGGCGGTGACCGCCTTGCAAAAGAAAAGGCGACGAGAAACAGCTGCATCTACAGAAATGGTCGATATCAATCGTGTGGAAGCCGTTGCTACAAACGGTTCTTCTGGAGTTTGGTCTGAGAATATGGCGAAAGAACTGATGTTTCAAAGAAACAAACAGTACGACTCAAAGGTGGAACGCTACCTGCAAAACGCGTTGCTGGAAGATGAGGTCGACCCGGAGTTGGTGGATGTGGCCCTAAAGTTACGTGCGACACAAGAAAAAAATGATCAACAACGTGTCGCCAAAGAAAAGAGAAACCAAAACCTACTACTGCCGAAAATATGTTCGATTCAGAGAAACAAATTTCACCTCGAGGACACCACTTGGCTGCGCAAGGTCACCGCTGCCTCCAGGCACAATGTGATGATCCACCCATGGGATGCCCAAAATTGGGTGGTCTCAGATCCAAGCAATCCAAAAGAACAAGTATTGTGGTCAGCTACTCTCCTTGGAGGTCTGGTGGTTGATGTCCCCTACTTTGAATCGGACGGCGAGAGAGGTTTGGCTATTCATTTCTCCCCATTTGTAGACATCAGCAGGAAAGCATATGTGAGTGAAACTTTCAAACAAGCTCACCCAAGAGTTGCCGAAGTCTTGCGGCATTGTTTGGCCCATCCACGTTCCAAGATGAATGTCCTTGATTCTTGGGAGGCATTTGCTGACCAACACTGCCGGCTGGATCACAAAACAAAAATGCGTGCCATAGCACTGGCCTCCGACGGTGAAGCCGCCCGAGCCAAGGAGAAAAACATTTTTCCCAAGAGAGATTTCATTGCATTTGCCTGCCGCATGGCCTTTGCCAAACGCGACCTTTGCCAAATGTGAGCAGTGGGGCTTAATTGCTGCTCATTGATCAATTCAAATTTGCACGGCGAAGTTTGCTCAACCTTCAAATTTCGCGCGCAAAAAACTTTCAAACTTGATGTTGCTATTTGATAACCAGCTTGCTCGTTGCAGCCACTGTCGTGTTCGTCAACCAGCCAGCTTGCTGGCTAGGTGTCGTCATTACAATGCCAACATATTTTTTTCAGTCAGCCAGCTTGCTGGCTTCAGTATGGGCTCCATCAAGATTCAGTGTCAGTTCCAGCAACGAGTGCACTATAGCCAACTAACTGGCGTAGCGGTCTTGCCGCTTTCAATTGTTGAAATTGAAGACATGAAAGTTAATTCGTCGATGCTCTCTCCGCAACATATTAGGTTTGAGATCCTCGCTCGACGTAGTGGCGACTGTCTGACTGCCATGCCTCCTAAGGTCGGCTGTGCAAAGGCGGCCAATAAGCCACATGCTCCAAAAGGCAAAGCAGCTGCGCAGCCGGGCAATGTGGTTGTTTCTCCAGATGCTTGCGATGTCGATGCTGTGAACATGGAACACTACCGAGATGTAGACTCAGCTCTGACAACCATCCTGGGCCACCACCTGTTCAAAGACGTGATGACTGAAGAGCCCCTGAGTATCAAAGAAGGCGTGGCGAGCCATCTTGCCGGCCACAAGGCCGGTATTGGAAATGCATTTTTTAGATAGTTTCTATATTCCCTGAAGGTTTCTGTATTCCCTTAGTTTTCTCAGTTCAAAACCTTCGGACTGTTGAGAGACATGGGTGGATCCACCCCAGTGCTCTCAACAGCGCCGAGCGCTCGGCACTGTTGAGAGGAGGTTTTTCAGCAAGAAGGAAACTGTTGAGAGACATGGGTGGATCCACCCCAGTGCTCTCAACAGTTTCCTTCTTGCTGAAAAACCTCCTCTCAACAGTGCCGAGCGCTCGGCGCTGTTGAGAGCACTGGGGTGGATCCACCCATGCCTCTCAACAGCAGGAGGTTTTGTGGCAGTACTCTCTGCATTCTGTTTCCCTTAAATGTTCACCCTGGTCAGGCAGTGTTCGTCGAGACTGTCTTCAAAGCTGCGATGCAGACCGCTGGGACCTATGATGCCGCTGGCAACCTGTTCTGGATCAACTTCAAGTGGAGCGCAGCGCCAAAGGTGCCAATCAACAGGGACTCCGTCAAAAGACTGCAGTCCAAGATCTTCAAAGACGGACCTGCTCTCTTTGACCGCCCGACTGTCATTGCTGTTGCCGAAGACATCTCGGTGTCGAAGGGCAACTTGCGCCGAGTCTCCCCTGAAGAGCCAGAGCATGCCTACTTGTTCGCCCTGAAGGATGCCATCACCAATGGTGAATCGGAAGATGTGCTGTTGCAACTTGTTCGAGTTAAGTAAAGTAGTCCAGCTTTGAACCAGACCAGCTTGCTGGTTGATGATTGGACCAGCTTGCTGGTTGATGATTGAGCCAACCAGTTTTGCTGGTTGATGATTGAACCAGCTTGCTGGTTGATGATTGGACCAGCTTGCTGGTTGATGATTGGACCAGCTTGCTGGTTGAATCTGTTTGGTTGAAGCAGCTTGCTGGTTGATGATGGTATGGTTCCGTGCCCAGCCATTTTTTTGCCTTTGATTTTGGGCATTGTTTGATCTCAGGCAGTACAAGCGGGTGGCACTGTGCACATCCATGATCTTCGAGATGTTGCCTACGTTGGAGAAGATTTTTTTCCGTGGCGTTTCTTGCCTTCTTAGTTAAAATAATAGTAATAGTAACTGATATAATAATCAAATGTTCACTCTATGTCAATGTGCACAATGAGCTTTGGTTTTTATCCAGGTCAACTTGCGAAACAACATCATCGATGAGTATGACGCACTGACTCGTTCAGCCACCCAGAGAACGTATGAGCTGCTGACGTACAAGCTCAACATCGAGGCCAAGGAGGGGAAAATGAGCAGCGTGGACTTGTACAATGCATGGAGCCGCCACGTCCATGCATGTGCATCTCCACTCGCAGAGACAGTCAGCCAAAACTTTGTCGAGACTGCTCTGCGATTCCATGACCGCATCCTCTCCAACCAAGAGCTGCGAACCATGGTGCTGAACATGGATGCCGACTACGGAAAGCTGTCTCCGTTGGGGGTGATGTCCAACATCGGGCAGATCATGCAGAAGACCAAGTCGCCTGAGCAGCTGCTTTGGGTCATGGCAACCATGGCAGACCTGATGAAGACCAACGAATGCTCACCGAAAGACTTCACGGTGCGGTCCTTGGCAACTTGGCTGATGTCAAACTAAAGTAATTTTTGTTGTGAATCATGTCTTGCTCAATAATAACTTTTTTAATGTCTAAATTATATCAATGTTCAAAAAAGGATATATGATGTTTTTTCTGCTGGTGGGCTCAAACTCAGGGCGGAGCTGTGCGTCAGAAAGGGTTGGTCGACCTGTTTGTCATGAAGCTGGACTTGAAAAACTACTTCCTCGGCCAATTCCTAAAGCAGGTGACCCTGAAGCCCAGTGACTTGGTGTTCTTGTGCAACCTGGACACCCACGTCAAATTCCGGGCGGCCATGGCCAACAAAGCCATTTTCGGAACTTTGGGAGAAACAACCCGTTTGATGATCACAATGCTTGCGACGGTGGTCTTTGGCTGTCAAAGTGATGGGCCTTTGAAGTCATGCTTGAAGTCCACGTCAGATCCGTTGGAAGTGGTGAACAATTGCCAATTTTTGGCGGATGCTTTGTCGGAGATCTCCGCCAAGAACAAAGATGAAAGTGCAGGTCACCCAGACTCCGCTGGTGAAAAGAAACAGGGTGATTCGCAAAAAGTCGACGACGATGATGATGGCATCGAAACCTCTCTGAACGACTTGGTCACTCCTGAGCAGCTGGAAGCGGATGATTCCGGAAAGCTGGAAGTTTGGTTGGATTTTTTGAAGAACAAATTCGACAGCTTCGTGACCCTTGTCATTGACCAGGACACCGTCGGTGATCTGAAGTCTGTTGTGGAAAAATGCGAGATTTTGCAGAAAGTGGAAGGGCCTGCAATGCTGCTTTTTGACTCAAAAATCGCAGGTGAGGCATCGTCGAACCCAAACTGTCGACTGCCTCCTTTCCAAGGGAAAATGCTTCGGCGCTATGTGCAAACCTTCACCGCACTCCGTGGCAACGGTGGAGACACAGAGGTGCAGGAAGGTGACCTGCGTCGCACTGACATGATCGCCTATATGGATGGAAGCCGTCCGGGAAATGATAGTTCCGTCAACGGATGCCTGGTGGACACCAATGGAAGGTCCATGAACAAGGTGAAGCAAAATTTCACTTTGGTATATGATGAAGAGTCACTGGGCGATCGAAAAGAAAAAGTCAGGGGATTTGTGCAGCAAACTGAGAACCTCAATGTCTTTACCCTCGATGGTTTGCAGCTGCAGAAACAATCCCGCAAACACTACAGTGGGACCAATCTCGGATCCAACATCGGCCCCATTCGAGCTCTCGGCTACGACGACCCTGCTTGCTGGAGACTCTCGTTGGCTGACAAGAAACTGTTGTACTCCGAGAAGGGCAAGATCCTCACTGGGGGAGCATGTTTCTTGGCTCATGATGGTGTCCAGTTGCTTGCTCCAGCTTTTTTTCCTGCCAGCTTGCTGGTATATCAATGTATACATGAAATCACTGAATTTAAAAAATGCATGAAATAAATTGCAACATTATTAGCCAGCTTGCTGGTAAAAAATTGCTCGCAAATCACATCGCAAGAAATGATCCTTTGTTACAGCCAGCTTGCTGGTCTGAGGTGGTGAAGAGAACAAGGTAGCAAAACCTACTTTTGCGGATGGGATGGAGCCCGTGTCGTGGCACTGTTCCAGCCCGACATTGCTGGCGGAACTGTTGCACAGTTTCCGCCCGAAGGTCGTGTTCCGTTGCCCGGAATCCGATCACCTCCTCATCCTGGAGGCCATCAAGCAGAAGATTCCGGTGGTCAGCATTGTCTGGTCATCTCACCACGAGAAACTCCTGAAGCAAAAGTGTCTCAAGGCATTGTGGCAGTGCATGGTGGATCCAAATTGCCCAGATCTGTACGAAGTTCAGTTGATTCTTGGCGGTTTTAGCATTTATGTATGTCAGCATTTTTTTTCAAATCAAGTATCTTACTTAAATGTTCCTTCTCATGAATTCTCGACTGAGGGCAGCACTTCTCAATGAGGGCGGCAAAATTGACGAACCACCTTTGAAGAAACCCCGCAAGGTCAAGAACAAGGCTGAGTCTGCCGAAGCTGCCGGTGCCGAGTCGAAGGCAGATTGCGAAGCTGCCGGAAGTGCAGATGGCGAAGGTGCTGCCGGTGCCGAGTCGAAGGACCCGAAGAAGAAAGGTGGCAGGCCTCCCAAAGAGGCGTCAAGCGCAGCGGTTGCTGCCAGAGATGCCCTACTGAAGAGCTTAGCGGGCTGAAAATGAAATGCATTTCATTCGACGAGAGGCAATCGGCAACAGCCGCCAAGCCTCAAATTTTGGTGATCAGAAATGGGCGCCGCGAGGAGAAAAAATACAGCCAGCTCGCTGGCCGGCTGACGTCACATGGAACTAAATTGCCAGCTTGCTGGCATTTCAAATTATGTGGCGCTGATTCCAACAAAATTATTTCAACCAGTCGCATTGAGTGGATCAAATCAATGCAGATCTGCTTGTTTTCACCATGGGGTTTTCCGCCGACATGGATGATGATGATGATAGTTTGGAGGCTGCTGCTCCTGCCAAAAAAAAAGAATCAGCTCTGGAAGCAGACCCGCAGCGAAAGTAGCAGCAGCCCCTGCAAAAAACAAAAAACAGGATGCCGCTCCAAAGACTAAGAGCAAAACGAAAGCAACATCAGTTGTTCGACCATTACCTGCAGGTGCGGCGCCAGTGACCAAAAACGATGTGTTGCGTCTTTTGCAGAAGTGGATGGCAAAGGGTAGCGTCCCTGCCTGCCCTCAATCGCACAATCACTGTGGCCTAACAGTTGGCTCGGCTTGTTCGGGATGGTGCTCAGACCTCTTAGCATTGCAGCGGCTGGGGCGAAGGCACACATGTTGTTTTGCCTCTGACATTGATCCGCATGTGAAAACGTTATGCTCTAGAACCTACCAGCACTGCCGCTGGATCGACGATGTCACATCGGACGAGTTCTTGCATCTTCCGGCCGTAGACCTTTTCACGGCCGGATTTCCGTGTCAACCTTTCAGTTTGGCAGGAATGGCTTTGGGAATGGATGAAGAACGAGGAATATTGGTGTTGTTTCTTATCCGCTACATTGGTCAAGCCAGACCTCGCTGTTTCATACTCGAAAACGTAGAAGGGCTTGTGAAAATGCACAAGCACACTTTGGCACTTTTGCTGGAAGTCCTCACCTCACTCCTGGATGAAACAGGGGCGCAACTGCACCTTTCCTGAAATTTTAGATATGAATCATAGTTTCAACATGTCCCACTGTAGTCATTTTTTTAAATGAACACAGCCGACACTGTCAGGTACGATGTGTCCTGGAAACTGATGGACACGTCCGAGTATTCAGGACTACCACACCATCGCTCCAGGGTTTTCATTGTCGGCATCCTCAAGTCGAAGCAGAAGGGGAAAATAAATTGGCCAGAGAAGGCTCGGACCCAATGCAGCATTAAAATGTGTAAATTATATATTCAAGTTTCCCTTATTTTTTGCTGTGCTGTTGTCGCCGTCAGTCAGGTGCCTATGAGACCTTTGGACGAATTGTTGGATCCAAAGCTGCCACGTCATCCCAAATCGCTGAAACCTACTGCTCTTCAGCACGTACGCGACGCTTTGCAGAGCGTGGTGGAAAAGGGCGATAACCCCTGTGATGTGCACTATGTGGTGGATATTGGAGGCGCGTGTACCAAATATTTTTGACACTAAAAAAACACTCTGATGATGTGTTACAGTCTGATGTTACAGTCTGATGATGGGCAGTCAGGCTCACAAAAACGAAAAGCCCACGCTTCTTGGTAGCAGCAACAAACCGGTAGTCCTCAATAGTTCAAAACTAATACACTCACTGCACCAGACCAAGGCTATGAAGGGCAAATCTCCATGCCTCACACGAACCAGGGCAAAAGAGAATGGCCATTGGCTTCTGAAGTACAACCGGTTCATGTCTCACACGGAGATCCTGGCTCTGATGGGGGCGTCGGACTCAGATTTTCCATCCAATGTGGTGGCTCCAAAGCAACTCCGTGCTATGGCTGGAAATGCCGTGCCAATTCCACTCTTTCAAAGAGTCATTGAAGCAGTCTTAAGCGCAGCTGGGCTGTAAAAAAATTGCATATCTGTCGGGTGAGTCCTCCATTTGGCCAACCAGCCGCTTGTCGTGACTGTGAATAACTATATAAATTATAGCCAGCTTGCTGGTCCTGGTAGGTAAATATTCAATAAATAGCCAGCTTGCTGGCTCATGTCTCGGTTGTGTGCTGGTTTTAAAAATGGAGAATGCATGACCAGCTGGGTTCAAATTCAAAACACGACTGCTCTCAGTCAATGCGATGTCACAGCCCCCGCCAGAGCCGGCCAAGCCACCATCATGGTCAACAGCCACGTGGCAGACTCAGAGTTGGGAAGGTGAGTCAGAATGGAGCTCATCGTCCTGGCAAAGGGATGACACCAAAAGCCAGTCATGGAGCTCATCGTCCTGGCAAAGGAACGCTGCTTGGGATGAGGGAAAAAACCAGTCATGGAACTCAACTTCGTCATGGGATGATGGCGGAGACCGCAAGCGGTACAAAAGCCGAAGCCAGCAGTGCCGCCTGGCAAACCGGAGGCAGAAAGCAGTGGCAAATGCCAATGTACAAACCCTGTTTGCTGAAGCTCAAGCAGAGTACTGGCATGAAAAGTTTCAGGCCGAAAGAAAAAAATTGGAGGCCAATGAAGAGGAGATGAGCCAACCTCGCGCCCAACTCCACAATGTTGTGGGTATGCTGCAGGACAAGAAGAAGGAGGCTGCCGAGTTCAAAGCGCAGAACCTTGCTCTCCGGAAGAAGCAGCAGCAGCAAAGCGCTGAATTGGCGTTGGAAAATGCCTTTCTTCGGAAAAAGCAGGAAGACACAGAAGCCTTGAGATGTCAACAAATTAACATGTTTGAAAAGAGGCAAAATTGGCTGAGTGAGCAACTTCGAGAAACGCAAACGAACTTGGACATGCACAGGCGCTTGGAAGCCAAAAGGGCTGACAAGAAGGCAGGTTTTGAATAGAAGAAAAAAATCAGCGGCATCGCCAGTTTGCTGATCAATTCTAATACGGCCAGGCATCGTCGGCCAGCTTGCTGGCTAATCCTGCAGGCCAGCTTGCTGGACAATCATTTCTTGAGAAAAAAACCTAATCGCAACTTCATTTTCTCCTTCAAGGCGCCTTGCAGTCAGGCAACCTCAACAAGCAGCATGACAAATTTCAAAATATACAGCGCATCTCAGACAGCATGACTTATTATATCACACTGCCAGTCACCCTATAGAATTCTAAGTTTTGGAGTATTCTCAAAATTCCACTTTGCATCTCAATTTTCGTTTTTCAGAGCTGCTGCCAATGATGCAAGACGGCCTTTCCTTGGTCCGCAGTCCCTGCTTGCTGATGAAGTATCAGCACCTGGACGCTCCAACGAGATCCAAAGAATGGTTGGTTCTATGGGCCAATGGAGCAATCAGTTTTTTCAGGAGATCTCAGCGCTCCAGGCGATACTACTTAGAATCAGCCGGCTGGTGGGAGTGGCAGCAGCTCAACAATGGTGGCCAGGCATTCTACCTACACCAGTTTGCATGTGCCCCGAGCCCTGGCATCAGACGCCATGAGCTGCAGTTCATTCGTCGTGGGCCTTTTTGGCCGCGAAATTGTGTTTCTTGCCAATTATTAATGCCCCGTTTGAAATGACGGCCAGCTTGCTGGTCTTGACATGGCCAGCTTGCTGGTCTTGAAAATGTTGCGGCCAGCTTGCTGGTCTTAAAAATGTTTTGGCCAGCTTGCTGTGGCCCGCTTGTTGCTCAGGTGTGGGACTCCGCCGGCAGATCCGTGTTGCTCACGGCAGTCCTGTATGCATCTGCGGACGACATCTATGGGTGGTGCTTGGCCTTTTCCAGACAGACTTGAAGGTCTGGAAACACAACCCTCTTTAGCAACGACCAGTGGTAAGACCACTGCTGGTCAGGAATGGACTGACTACCAGTGCCTGGAATCAAATGGTGTGAAAATGATTCCCTTTGAAATGATAACCTGAATTGGCCAGTCTGCTGGTCCTGAAATGGCCAGCTTGCTGGTCTTGAAATGGCCAGCCTGCTGGTCCTGAAATGGCCAGCTTGCTGGTCCTTCAAACTTGTTCACACAAAGTCAACTTCCAATGGCGAAGCACCGCTACTGATAAAGTTATTTTTTGCATGGCCAGCTTGCTGGCTGATCATAAATGTGCGCTGCCAGCTGGCTTGACTGAAACTTACACTTGACTGCCGCAAAATTTCCCAGGCCAAACGTCGTCCATTGTCAAGAGCCTCATTTGTAGCCATGGGAGCGATGCGACCACCGCCCCCTTCTGTGACTGCGAAAACCATCCAAGCCAGGAAAATGGGACAATGGACGCGAGCCAAGGGGAAACTACAGGAGAAGCCAGCGCCATGCCCGATGATGGTTCAAAGACGCCTCTTGCACAGGATGCCGCTGGAGCTTCTCAAGGCGAAGTACAACTATTTGAGGAACAACTCCACGCCTTGGATGTTATTGTTGTTCACTGAGGTTTGATTTTGTTTGACCGACGTTTTTTCAAACTATTTTCGCTTCTTTTCAGCCTCAGCTAAGAAATGGCTCTCAAGCATAGACTTGGAAGAGGCCATGCGGAAGGTCATTCGCCGACGGTCGGGGCTCCCTTCGAGCTCCGATTGAAATTGACGCAAATTCTAAGGGTGAACCAATGCCAAAGAAGCAGTGTACTGACACTGTGGGCATCACCCGTCGCCATGCATGTAAAAAAGAGCCTTTGGCAAGTGAGCTGGCCAGTCAATGTCTTGTAATAAATGTATAATATAGACAACAAACTGGCCAAAGACCCTTACGGTGTTTGGCCAGTTTGTTGTTTCATATTTTGTTTCATATGTCTTGCTCTTGCCGGCTAGCTAACTGGCACGTTATTGTTGCCAGCAGGCTGGCATGTGGCCTAGCTGGCCGTTTTGGGGTTGTTTCAGTTGCCAGCAAGCTGGCATGTGGCCAGCTAGCTGGCCGCTTTGTGGCACCTTCCTCATTCTGAACAGGTGCGTCAGTGCCACCTTAGCACACTGATCTTGGCTCTGCCCAATTCGAATTGCCATGAATTTTGATCCTGGCCAAAATATCGTATTGGAAATTCAAAAATATTAGCATGGATGTTTCTAAGAATGGTTGTTTCTTTAGCATGGATGCTTCACTGGCATCTGATTTGGTCAATTTTCAGTGCATGTGATGCTTCTTCAGCATGGGAAAATGCATGTTATGCTTCTGCAGCATGGGGCAATGCACGTGATGATGCTTCTTCAGCATGGGACAATGCAACATGATCCATCTAAGGGCAATAGTTTGATACAATTGATCTATTAATTAATTAGTCCACATATTTAAATACATTTGGTCTAGATCTCATTTAACTGAGGCAACTGACTTTTCATTTTTGATGGTGGTGTAGTTTTGATCATTTCATATTTAGTAAAATTCCACACCAACTATAATAATAATCACCATCTCCAATCACAAATATTAACCAGAGACACTGGTGTAAACATTTAATTGTCTGTGTCATTATGATAATTTTGCATCATGAACATGTCAGCCACATCATCAAGTACTTGGAACTTGCTTGCCATGGGGGGCATATTTTTTTGTATTCCCTTATTCCCGCTTAACCGCCAGTAAGATCACTAAGGACACAAAAAACAAAAAAACACAGAAATCAGCTGGAAACACCATCCCTGTATGGAAAAGTTGATCTCAACTATTTTTAGGTTGATTTGCTGTGCAAGTTGCTTGAATATGATTTAACCTCGAAATGCCTGTAATTTTTCTAGACTTCGGGATATAATTGGGCTTGCCATATTTTGCTGTTTGTTCATGGTTTAACGATGAACCCACTTGTTTTATGTTTCATGACCATATTTTGTCATATAAATATATATATATACACCACGGTTTTATACGTTTATGACTCGGTGTTTAACCAATATATATATAAGTAGATTTGTACAAGCATATGATTATCTATAGTTGCAAGTTGCCATTTATGAGCACCTATTATTCTGTCTGATGCGTGTTTAATTATGATCTGATTTATCGTACGTCGTACTATTTACATCCATGTTCATCCATGTATGTTATCATACATACAACATGGTTTGTATTTTTGTCCATACTAAATGTTGTGTGAATATTATTTGATTTATCATACCTTTTGAATATTTACCATCGCAGCGCAGGAGAATTGCCCATTTATAGATGAACATTATCATGATTTTGTCAATAAAATCTTCATCTATAAATCCATAGATAAAATCCATTTTATAGATGAACAGTATCATTTATAGATGTACAATGCGGGGCCCCCCAGTTATAAGTTGGTTTATAAACCCCATTAACTATAGTTATAACCCAAAGGCTCCTGGGTACCTCCCTACGAGGGTTCTGACCCTCCCCACGAGGGTTCTGACCCTGGACCCTCATGACGAGAGTTTGGGACCCTCAGGAAAGCAACCCGACGATCCCACAGGGTCCAGGAGGGTCCAACGATGTCCAGGGGTTAGTTTCTTACCCCTCTTGCGGTCCTATTCATGGTCTTGTCTTTAAATGTTTTGCTCTTGTGACACTTGATACTGCTGCCCCTATAAAGTGGCTGGAGCGCAGAGGACATCAGCATAGCTGCCTCTCATTAGTTCGTAGGTGTGCTAGATATTGCTAGCTGGAGAGCATGGAGGTGATGATATGTGGGCATTGGTTCGACACCCAAACATGAGGATGATTTAAAACTCTAAGTCTTATCAACAGCGTGGTCCGGATTTGGCCCCGATGATTCCAAATGAGTAAACCAGTGTAGCAGCAACGATAATCACCCATCGTCATCCACCCACTTGGATTTATCCCAACATTATGGCCATGATCTATTTATAAGCCGAAAAAGTGTTGGACAGTGTGTTTCATATGTACACCATCCAGTCTATATATATATATTATTATTCAATATTATCATATGATTAAAACAAACAATGAAACAAGGTAAGACACTCTATGAAAACATATTTCTTCAAGTATATCAACTTTGCACATCCGCCCGACTTGCGCTGATAGAATGTGCACCAATACTATATTATAAGCTTGCTTGTATTTACTGATAGGGTTACATTTTATTGCGCTATAATATGTGTTTTTCTGAACGGGCACACTGAGCAGTTCTCCGATAGAATGGCCTTGAAACCAAAAATGAATACAGTCTGCACTTTGTTAGGCTTTGTTGGTATAGGGTCTTCCGGTTTTCCTGATGCCTTCCCGATGCTTTCCGATGCCTTCCCGATGCCTTCCCGATGCTTTCCGATGCCTTCCCGATGCCTTCCCGATGCTTTCCGATGCCTTCCCGATGCCTTCCCGACGCCTTACCGATGCTTTCCGATGCTTTCCCGATTGCTTTCCAATGCCTTCCCGATGCCTTCCGATGCCCGTCTCGAGTGCCTTCCCAATACCTTCCCGATGCCTCGCCGATCCCTTCCCCATATTATACCATTCAAATCCCTTCCTAACTCCTTTGCATGAATCCCTTCCCAATTATTTTTTCTTTCCAACACCCTCCTGCCTCAAGATAAGACATCGGAAAGACATCGGAAAGGCATCGGGAAGCATTCCATCGGAACCTATCGGAACCTCAAAACTGCAGCTTTTGAGGGTCCCGCGCCGCCCAAACATCGGAAAGGCGTCGGAAAGACGTCGGAAAGAGTGAGTATAGCACAAACAAAAATTCCCGCTACACTCGGAAGAATGGCTGAACCCCGCAAAATGCGACCCTGGCTTTAATGTGTGCCGGTTTGAATACTCTTTAAAAGCTTGTTGCGCCTGGCATGGGTCCTGCAATTATGCAATGGATGTTGCTCTGCTTCCAAGCGCTTTTCATGGCCAAATCCGTCGTCAAGCGCTACTCACAATATGTAATACTACTTGCTATCCTGTTGTATGTTTTTTTGCTCGCGCATTTTTTTGGGTGTGTGTATGTTTAATATTGCCTTGTTTAAACTCCATTGAACACATGGCAATTCCGTGTTTTGCCCAGATGCCTTCTAGTTCCACCATGTTGGTTTTACACCTCTCAACCACACGCCTATTTATTCTTTATCTATTCGAATTATTTAAAGTTTTTACACCGTTGAATTTACTCCTGTCTTCTGCATTCTGTTTATCTCGGTTTCATTCCCACTACTCATGTTTACCTATACAATATAACGTTAGATTATATAGTGCTCAACGTTTATAAACAGTACAATATGCATATGCGTGGTATTGTATGGTCTCAAGGTCAGCTCCAAAACTTTGGACTGGTTTGTCATATGTTCAAGATCAAAACGACGCATTGGCACCTGATGCACCCTGTAAAGATTGATTTCTTGGCTGGCAACTGTTGTGCCAGTGATATGTCATTTTTGGAGTGTGACATTTTGGCCAAAAAACAGGCATTGAGAACACAAATCATCGAGAAAACCAGTCTTTCAACTCACGAGGAGGTTTGGGGGTACAGTATCTACTAAAGGTTGGTTTGTTTGCAGATGTTTGCAGTGCATACGCAATCTAAGCACTTTTTGTCGTTTTGTCTTGCCATCCAGTATCCAACCCGTTGTGCGACCTTACTTAAGCAAAAGTATCTTCGCGCCAATGATGTCTACAAACAGAACTGTAGTCCAACATCTTTATAAAACCTGCTCGAGGATATGTTCATGGTTCTATTGCGAACCTTTCATTTGGATTATTGTTCTGAGAATTTGCAGAAAACTACACACCTAAATAAAAAAAATATCCCGTCGGACCCTCAACACGCTCACCTCGAGGGTCCCTTGCCCCAGGAGGGTCCCAATCATATCGGGAGCGTTAGGGAAGTACCATAAACCATAGTTACTGAAGTTATAAACAAAGTTAGCTATCTAGGGGGCCCCACCTTGTATATCAATAGATGTTCCATACTATTTTTGCCACAAGACCGTGAATGTCCCTTGTGGTCGGGCCAGCCAGGCCTATGAGCGTCTGCGAGCCGAGCGGCAGGAACAGCGCCAACAGATGGCCGAGAAGGCCGGCTTTGGATCTGTTGGAGGTGCCATTGTTGGCCAAACAAATGAAGACTTAACCTTTAAAAAGTGGGGATTGAACAATCAACAAATGGTGATTAACCATCAACAAGTGGAAATTTAACAATCAACAAATGGTGATTTACGCATCAAAAATGGGAAGTTGACCATGAACAAGTGGGATTTAACCACCATAGAGGGTATTTAATGTGGATTTCAACAACAAACAACCGGATTTAACCAGCAAAAAAGGCGGGTTCAGGGAACCCACGCAGCAACAATTTCGACTTTACAAGCAAAAAAATCGGAAGTCAGCCATTGGAAGTGGAGGCTCAACCAGCAAAATGGAAGGTTAACCCAATTATCTTTTGACCGTTATAGGATATTATAGGATATTGTAGGGAGATCACCAAGCAATTCGAAGAACACATACGATGAAAACAAACTAACATGTTAACATGTTCAACAATTGTGAGGTAATCGGCAGTAATTGTGAGTGAACCAATACACAACATTAATTATACTATATATATAATTTAATTTAATATTTAGACATAGACTCACACGATAGGCATAAGAGAATGACCCAGATTTGTCCACATGATTTTGGTTATGTCAACCATGGGGAGGCCAAGAAACAGAAGTTGACCTTTGGACAGATCGTTTTCAGCGTGGACCCATGCAGTTGTTTCCCTTAAATTAAAGTTTGTTTTAACCGTGTCATGGCCCAATTGACCCTCCTTTTTTCACCGGGTCGGGTCCTCCCCTTGGTGTTGGGAAGGGCTCTTCTCAGGTGGTAAACTAAGACATGGATGTGGTGTTACCCTCTGGTAAACTAACATAACTATGGAAAATCACAATTTTTAATGGGAAAATCCACTATTTCTATGACCATTTTCAATAGCTAACTGTTGACATAACCAGAGGGTACCAATTTGTAGATCATTTTCCGGGGGTTTCCCCATGGGTTTTCCACATCTTATGTCACCGTCGTATCTGACGAGGAGGCGGCGCAGAGAAGGGAGATCGAACAACACGCCGGGATTCGAGCACCGCGACCTTTCGCCGGTGATGGGATTGAAGCGACTTCAGCAGTCTTTTAGGTTGATATATACAATGTGGGGCCCCCAGTCGATAGCGTTCAGTTGGTTTATAACTACAATAACTAGGGTTTATGGTAGTTATAACCATAGTTAGATGGGGTTATAAACCAACTTATAACTAGGGGTTCCCACATTGTAGGTTAATATAGAATCCTTTGGGGATTTATTATGGGATTATTATATGATTCACCATCCCAATATGGGGGGGTTCCATAATCATGGGGGTTTCCCCCATACCTGGATGGTTTATAATGGAAGAGGACACCAGGAAAATGGATGTTAAATGAGGTAATTACCCACATTTTAGGACACCTCCATATCAGTAAAAATCGATAGATGAGCCATATTTTAGATGTAAAAAAAACTGGATTTTAGATGTTTTTTGGTGTAGGGCTCAAAGTTTGAGAACCTGCCCATTGTGGGTGACCCAAAGTGTTGACCCAGATCAAGGAATTCAGGTGGGTGGTTGCAGTAACCTTCCTATCTTACGAGATGAATTGGAAACTACTATACGCATTTGTCTACACACATGTACAGTATACGGTGTGTATATATACATATCATATATATATAGTGCATTAATGACCTACCTAAGTATATATATATATATATACTCATACATAATTCACCCATAAACATAGATAAAATATATCTAGATTAGACTAGATAGATAGATAGATAGATAGATAAATAGATAGATAGTAGAGATAGTGGAGATAGTAGAGATAGTAGAGATAGTAGAGATAGATAGAGATAGTAGAGATAGTAGAGATAGATAGAGATAGATAGAGTTAGATAGAGATAGATAGAGATAGATAGAGATAGATAGAGATAGATAGAGATAGATAGAGATAGATATAGATAGATATAGATAGATATAGATTGATTTAGATAGACATACATATATATACATAGATATAAATATAGATAGATATATACTTAGATAAACATAGA